ATGATCAGATACAAACAACCCAATACCGCCAGCATTACTAAGGCTTGGCTGTGAGAAAAAAGTATAGCAAAAAAATATCAGTATTGGTCACATGATCTTTTCCTGTCAGAATCTTGATCTGAAACTTAAATCTGACAGCAATTCAATTGAACAATCATAATTAGCATTAAGGCTACGAATATTGCAGTGCGTGGCAGAAAACTGTTGATTACGAGTACAGTTTTCTATCTCAGAACTATTACTAAATTCATCGCCGTATAATACCTAAAATTTGTTTGAATGGGGGTATTAATATCAGGATCAAGGCTTGACAAGTCTGAGGTTGAAATTAATGAGGATAGAATTTGAAGCCATCGTTGATCAATAAAATTCAAATTCGATGCCGGCATTGTGATACTAAGTTGAATTAAAAGTTAAAGTTAAATACTAAATTATTAATACGCAGACGAATATATAAATACACAAAACACAACACACATTATGTAATTACAAATACAACTTAGCTTTTATATAATTTTGCAATATCCAAATGAATCTGTATAGACACAAGCAGGGCTGTCAGCATCACGACGAAGTAAGATTTTGCCAGATGATGTCCACAAATACTTGTAATGGAAATCTCTCTTGGCACCAAGATATTTATTAAATAGGGGTTTATTTTTCTGCGTAAGACTTTCTGCTATAAATATCTTTTGTTTAGCTATTCTTCTCTTTGGCTTTTTGGTTATGAAGACCATTTCTTGCTTTGTAATAAGAATCTCTAACATCTCTTCCCACAAATTTAACAATGATAGTTGGAGAACGTTGGTCTCCAGAACTATCCAACGATCTAGAGCCTGGTAGTCTATGGCTAATTCGAATACAAATTTTCACCAACTTCAATACCAATAAGTTTACCAACCTTTCTAATGGCGTAGGCATCGGTATTCTCTTTTCCATCCTGTATAGGTATACCACGAACCTCAAGACAATCTCGTCTCGAATAATATTCAATCTCATTTTGACTACTCTTGAGAATACTGACCATTAGTTAACTTCTCTACATCAGATTTCAGACGTATATTATCATTTACGAGACCTTTGTTATCGCTTTCAAATTAATCAAATACTTCAACTTTATACATTAATTCATCATATTTCTTGCTAAAAAACTCAAATGACTCCTCAATCTTCTGCATCGTTGTATTCAGATTCGATACATTCAAATTAAGCGGATTTAACTTCTTTCATCCAGAAGCTTTTTCAGCAGTATTTCTAGCGATTTTTCATCCTTGGTGTGTTTGAAAATCCACAAAAGGTGTAAAGTGTGCTTCAAATATCAAATATCAAAAATGCAACAAATAAAATACAAAATTATTTCAATTTTTGGAGAGCTTTAAAATCGCCATCTTGACTCAGTCCCAGGCAGTCCCAGCAGTACTGTACTTAAAACTTGCAAGTAGCTCTGGATTCGGGGTGATCTTTCGCAGCTTTTCGTAGTCTTTATCCCGGCGATCAAACCATACTAGTTGCTCATCATGTTCATCATCTTCAAGGTCACGTTGACCTTCCAACCACTCATGCTCATTACAGACGCGATAGAGCATTCCAATCCATTTGTCCTGAGTGAAAAATAAATATATATGTAGCAATACACAAAAATTTTAGATAATTTTATACTTTTATCATGGGACAATGCTAATACCGTCATAACTTTAAATGCTTCCTCGTCAGTGGTTTCATCATCTTGCCGACATGCACTAGAGCAATGCCAAAAATGGCGAGTAATATGTGGTACCCAGTCCTTCACCTTTTTCATCACTTTGGGTTTTCCAAGCTAAATAGAAGTGGAATTGAAAATGTTGACACACAAACCAATATGGTCTTGATGCTTTTTGATTGGTGCCAAACATCCAAGCTATATATGAATCACCGATTGAGTTGAGTCATCTATGTATAAATCAAGGTTACACCATTCTATACTCCCTGGCAGATCGTTAATATAGATGCAGAACAGAAGTGGTGATAGTATAGCACCTTGAGGAATGCCATGGGTTATCGGGCGGGCTGATGACTTGGGGATCCAATGCGCACGTATTGGAATCTGCCTGTCAAATAGTCTTGGTATCATTTAACTGCTTCAGGTGAAGCACCAATACAACTTAATTTGTTTCACAACATCGAATGACTGACACTGTCGTCTGTGGAATGCCTTGGATAAGTCCAATAAAATTAGTGCCGTTGTCTATGGCTTCCAAAAGTTGTCTATGGTGCTGGTACACTCTAAAAACATCCGGGTTACATTTAACCCAAATAGGGTCAAGTCGTGACCAAGACCCTTTTCAATTCTAAAGTTTCTAATAAACAGTTCTTATAAGCAAGTCATTAGCAAAAACAAATACAAACATTGTCTGATATTATTTTGTAAAAGACTTACTGTTTTAGCATCTATAAATAACTTGATTGCTTCGTCCAGGCTGCACCTTTTCTTACCATTTGTTCCAGTCCGGAGGTTACAAGGAAGTAGGCTTAGGGCCATATTCTTTATTTGTTCATCTAAAATATTTGAATCAAAATTGAACATATTAATATTATATCTTTGTAAGTGTATCTGGAATAAAGCTTTTTCGGCGTTTAAAAGTCTCATCCGCGTTTTAACCAATCGGGTAAAACGCGGATATGGTATAAAATTTGCTTTACGGGCGTTTAAAAGTCATATACTCGTTTTACCCATTGGTATAAAATATGACTACATAAATATGAATATAAAATATGAATGTACAGAAGTTGTGCCGGTACACTAATATTCACTGATAATACTGTTTTAAATAAAATATAATCAAACAAATACCACATAATCTCGCTCTCTCTATAAGTCACAGCGTTCGTGTTACGTTAATAGTGAGCTTAAGCAAGTGACGTTTTTGACAACACGAACGGCATGAGTAACTTCCGGGGACTGGATCTAAAACGGCGGTTTAGATGTGAAGTTAAATATTTAGCTAACACAAATGTGCACAATTACGGCATCTGTAACGTCATTGTTTACATTTTTGTATTTCGCCTTCACAGACATAGCCGTTTTCATAAAAATGCCGTCTTTCAAACAAACCAGGGATCTTTTGTACGTAAGTTACTACAAGAAACTAATAACATCCGACCAGTTATTGCTTTTACTGGAAGAGAATACGTCTCATAATCCAGAATTTGATCACGGACAGTACGAAAAGTTTGACCTTCAAAGCATCCCAGAACCTGAATGTTTATCTTATTTCCGATTCAACAAGGCCGATATCCCTATCTTGGCAGAAGAGCTTGGTTTACCTGATACATTTCACTGCTATCAACGCACTACTGCCGGAAAAATTGAAGGTTTATGTATACTTCTTCGTCGCTTAGCGTTTCCTTGTCGCTATGCTGATTTAATTCCTTTGTTTGGTCGGTCTGTCGCTGAGTTAAGTTTGATCAGCAATAAAGTTATGGATGTAATTTACAATGCTCATGGACATAGAATGACGGAATGGAATCAGCAAATTTTGAGCCCTGAAAACCTCGAAATCTATGCAGACGCTATACATGCGAAAGGAGCAGCGTTGGCAAATTGCTATGGCTTCATCGACGGCACTGTCAGACCTTTGTGCAGGCCAGGTCAACATCAAAGATATGTGTACAACGGCCATAAACGACTACATTCAATCAAGTTTCAATCTGTTACTTTGCCAAATGGTTTGATTGCGAATATGTTTGGGCCAGTTGGTAAGAATCTGAGATTTATATTTATGTATTCAACTTTGACATATATAACAACCCTGTTACTATAACATGGGGTGCAATATAATAATTAGCAACCGATATCCAATGCAATATGATGCAATGCTATACAATGTAAAAGAAAATACAATATACAGTGCAATGCAATGCAATGCAATGCAATGCAATAAGCGCTTTCAGCAAAGCAGACCATTTCGGGTAATCAGGGCAAAACTGAAAAGAAATACTTGACTTGTGACCAATGCTCCTTTGAAATTCACTGCACAGGTCAATGATTTCCTTTAAATTTTGCCCTGATTACCCGAGATGCTCTGTTTTGGCAAAAGGGCTTATACAATATAATGCAAGACAATGCAAGACAAAGTCACATTTGGTATTTATGCTCATAATTTGTGCTATTCTCTGACCATGCATTGAGCAACAAGGTAGCTCTGATTGTACATTTAGAGGGGAAAAGGCACGATGCTGGGATGCTTGCAGATTCCAACCTTCTCGCATCTTTGGAACAACGTGCATACTCAACTGATGGACGTGCAATGTGCCTGTATGGGGATCCTGCGTACCCATTACGAGCCCACCTACAAACCCCCTTCAGAGAGGCTGCTTTGACTCCACACATGATGGAATTTAACAAGTCTATGAGTACGGTTCGAGTGACGGTGGAATGGGCTTTTGGCGAAGTCACAAGATCTTTCAGGTGCCTTGACCTAAAAAGCAACCTGAAACTTGGTCTCAGCTGTGTAGGCAAGATGTATTTAGTTTGTGCATTGATTCAAAATGCACTAACATGCATGTATGGGAACCAAACATCAAAATTTTTTGAACTAAATCCACCATCTGTTCAAAGATATTTTTCATAATTCTTGATTGCATACATCAATTACTGTACAAATTTGGTTAATCATAATTAATTAAAATTAACATAGTACAGTTGTAAATTTAAAGGAAATGAACCTTTCTTGTTCACTGTTTATCTGCAATTTTATGGTAAAAAATACCTCAACCAATTATTTGGTAAATTTTTAAATCTAGATCCTTTGAAATGGCAGTATCTAAAAAATTATGGACATTTGGCCTCATGAGAAAGGTTAATTTCAGTTGTATATAACAATTAAATTAATTAATATAATTTGTACAATTAATATAATTTGGTAAATACATTACAATGAAATTGAGTATTTTAATATAAATTATAATAATAAAGAACAACAATTTTGTCACAACAACATTTTTGTCATCATATATATTGTTTAACGGTCTGACATTTTTTCTATAATATTTAAAATGAGATTATTTTGTTGAACCATCATCATGCTAAATTGGTTCATATTTTGCTGCTGTATTGCCATCTGTTGGGCCATCATCTCCTTGAAGTCATTGTGCTTTGTTTCCTCTGCATCTAACCTTTCTCTTTCCAGCTCCATCTCTTTCTCTTTCATCTTCTGATCTCTGTCTGATTGCTTCCTCAAAAACTCCATCGTTTCATTTCCTGATCTTCTCTTTTTCACTTTCTTTTCTTCCATTTCTTCGTCCTCGATTTTCCTTCTTCTGGTTTCCCCTAATGTCTCCATAGCTTTCTTCCGGACATCAATGGCATTCTCTTTATCCTCCATCAATTTCTTTGCCTGCTCTTCACCTAGTGATGATCAGTACATCACTGAGTATCATATCTTACATGCTGGAGGGCAGAATTAATACAACCAAATATTTACTTTACATGAATCAATACCTTCTTTCACCCTTGTCTCTTCAGAAGTCTTTTCTTTCTCCATTGCTTCCTCAATGAGCAGGTCGAGCTCTGTAACCTCTGGTGATATTCCTGAAGCCCTCTTTTCAAAAGAGAGCCTGGTACGATGCTTCTTGCAGAGCAAAGCATATCTATCTTGAACAGACCGCCTATTCATTGTGTCTTTGAAAGAAGGATCTTCCAAGCCTTTCAAATTGTTGATCACTTGCTGCCAATAATCAGCTCTTTGAGATGTTTTTTTCTTGGCTTGGAAGGGATTTACCATCAGTACTTCCTTTAATAGCATGGTATCGTGCAACTTTGTCCATGCCATTGGAGTACTATAAAAAATTAAATATATACTGTTGGACATTATTTCAGCTTATTAAATGACTTAGCAGTCATTTATAGACGTAAAAATGGAAAAAAAATTCTTCACAGGCAGTAATACAGTATCAACTAATCAAGGTTCACCTTGTGCAATACAAATGAAATATTCAATAATTTAAAGACTCGCGACGTTTGTATCAGAACTTTTTGAACGAAAATAAAATGAACGTTTAGGTCATATGACTTGATTTTCATTCCACATTTTTCTATAAATCCATAATTATGAAGCTTCGAGCCTTGGCAGTACGTTTTACCTTTGAACTCCTTGAGTATTTTCGGATGCCATCACAGTTTGTAAGCTTTCAATCGCTTTCAGCTGAAAGTAGTAATATTACTTTAATAATATGTCGACAAATGACAATTTTTAGCAAAAAAAAAACAAAAAAATTGCTTTTACCTGTCACGTTTCTGTTGAAAAACAAGAACGCCAAAACACTCAAGTTGCCGTCTGTTACTTCGCCTCAAAAACTGCTCACGCCATCAAAATCGCCAAATTTACTTCCGGTTCACGTTACAGATTAAAAACGTCGCTTGCTTAAGCTCACTATTTACATACATTCTCGTGCCCTCTTTTGGACATGCGCACTGACCGGAATGACAGACACCCATTTCAAACTGTTCCGCTCATGAATATAAAATATGAATATAAAATATGAATACATTCATAAGCGTGCAAGTTTAGTATAGCGTATACATATTTGTATAATAGTGTATTAGATTTGCATTCCAAACTGTCGGAGCAGTAGAATATGTTGCATGGTGAGTAACCAGCTTGCTACTTCTACACAGGTTGGATTAAACATAGGCGTTTTAGCGCGGACACAATCTAATTTCACATGAAAGTACACATCCCCCGCCTTGCTGACTCTTTCACCTGATATTGGATGCATGTAACAGCAAAGCATTTTGGTAACGACAGGCATGTTAAAAGGTGGATGCGGTATATGGTTATTTGGTTTTAGAGCCTGCCCACAGCCAAAGAAAAATCGTGAATTTGGGGGACAGTAGTCAAGGTAATGAAGTTGGAATGCTCCACTTATTGGTTGAGGAACGAATGAAGTTGCTTGCGGTATTTGTGCACCCGGTGGTATTTGCTGCAGTATTTGTGCAACTGGTGGTATTTGCTGCGGCATTTGTGAACAAGGTGGTACTTGCTGCTGTATTTGTGCAACTATTGGAAGAATTGGCGGCTCCAGTTGGTTTGTTGGGAGTGCACTTGGTGGTTGTAGTGGTGCAGATATGTTCTCGGGTACAGGTCTCGACAATTGCATTCACAGGTTTAATGTTCTTGTTTCGTCCACCTTTTCTTCTATCTGTGGATTTCGCATTCTTCATTCTTCTTCCCGTATTCTTGCCGCTATCAAACGTTACGTACGATGTTAGATTCGCCGAGTCTGGACCATTTTTTTAGCCATCTTACGTAGTTCCCGAGAGTTCCGGCTTTATCGGATGCGGCAACAGCGTGCGCGCACAACTTTGCCGATTTGTAAGATGGGCAACCATCGCAAACGGCTTTCCCATTTTTTTTTAACTCCACAAAATGTGGTTTTATAGCTGTTTGGCTTTCAACCATATACGCACTCTCGTTACCGGGAGCGGCAATAACGCATATTTTATACCATATTTTACTCAATCGGGTAAAACGCGAATATGATGTTTAAAATTTTGTTTTATTGAAAAGTAAGTTTCGTAAATCCGTCCGTCCGTATCCGCGTTTTACCCTAACCCCAAATTGATGTGTGATGACGTCTATTGCAGTGGCTGCAGGACATCTTACTATTGCAATCCGATGCGCGATGGAATTTCGTTGCGCAGTTAAAACACAACCCCCTTTTTGCCAATTTTTTTTGCGCTCATTTGGATTGACAACTTTCGGACACTTTATGGTTTGGATCTTTGCAATAAACACAACCCGTAAGTTTTTCAAATCTCGCTTTGCGTGAAACATTTTTTTTTCGATTTTCTTCAGGTCGCGTATATATCATTGCCGGTCTGGTCTGGGGTATCTGCAATTACTATTTTTTCAAATCACTTCAGAACTATATTGCATTTCCATCAATGATCATTAAAATAATTTAATTTTACATCAATTTACTTAAATTTACAAATATATAATATTTACAAATATATGTTATTTACAAATATATAATATTTACAAATATATATAATATTCACAAACTTGCACTTTACTAAACTATTTACAGTTCATGCAATGAAAACAGGTATTTTCATGAACAGTTTTTGGGACATTGTCACATGATCGGTGGAACCATCGCAAACATTTTGAACATTCAATCATAAATTGACCTTCTGCATATGGCATCCTACAATGGCAGAATAGTTCTTCGCTTCTTGACTTAGTGCTTTTACCATTTGACACTTTGTTGGTTAGCGGCATGTTGTCCTCTTTTGGTGGCATGGGGTTACCAGTTGGTGAAGTGGTGTCATCAGTCAATGGTGTGGTGTTATCGGTTGGTGGTGTGGGGCCATCAGTCTGTGGTGTGGTGTTATCGGCTGGTGATGTGGGGCCATCAGTCAATGGTGTGGTGTTATCGGTTGGTGGTGTGGGGCCATCAGTCAGTGATGTGGTGTTATCGGCTGGTGGTGTGGGGTCATCAGTCAGTGGTATGGTGTCATCAGCTGGTGGAATGGTGTCATCTGTGTTTATGTCATGAAGTTCACTGGTCATGTAAGGTCGTAGTTGGTCATACGATACACTCATCTAAACTTACATATTCTTGGACATCCTCTTTCATTCCATTCCAACAATAAAAATTTGAAATTTTGTTCAATGTAGCATTGACACCACTATGTCCTCCCATAGCATTGCTATGGTGATGATGCAATATTTCCGAAATTTCTTCCAAGCTAAGGACAACCTTCTTTCGGATCCCAACTTTCCCACCAGTGTAATGTAGCTCATTATCTGAAATGAATTGTAATATAGCCTATTAATCTCTAATGTGCACCAGTGCATCCAACTTATTCTTTTTTTACAAACACCTGACAAGCTCTTTTTTATAGTAATATCCAGTCTACAGTAGAAAAAGTCAGTGTATTGTATAAAAAGTCTTGCAACAAACTGCAAAGTACCAAACCTTTTACAACTATCTATAAAAGCCAGCCATTTTAACTCAAGAGAGAGTCATAAACAATGCAATGTTAACAAAATGAGCAAGTATATTTATAAGCTGAAACTCCAAGTCTATTTTCAATCATTCAACCCAGACTTAGCCCCCATAAAACATTCACCCATATTCGATATTTTATAATAATCTATCAGGAAAATTGACTGATTAACCCCCTAAGGTTATTGAGCTTGATACTACGCCAGTACGAGCGTGAGTGAATCAGAATGGCGATATCATTTGACTGTTTTAGTTACACTAATAACTCATAACCAATAACTCATAACTTAACTTTAGATTCAATACTATATGAATACTTACTTGTCTCATCCAGAACATAGTTCTTAGCTTGACCACGAACAACACGCTGCTGGTTCTTCGACAAACCAGCTTGATGCTTTCCATGGCGCAGGTAGTGCACAATGCGCTCACATTTCTCGCTTTGCTCAGCGAGACGATCTTTTCTAGTCAACTTTTGAGGTTCAACATTTCTAGGTTCCTCCTGTGGCGCCATTTTTTAACATTATACGCAAAATTGCAAGTGTTTCAAACGACTTTCGATAGAAGTTGTAGCGCAGACGAGCAGCGAAGTAGAAGGGGAGATCTCAGACCAAGAGGAATGTCTGTTACGCAACACCTCTGCCGTGCGCATGCGCATTGTAATAGAGGAATGTTGAGACCGGGGGATTATTGAGACTGCTACACCGGTAGTTGCTGGGTTGCGCTTTACCGACTGATTTAATGCTTCGGCTAGCTGGATAAAATTATACGCTTCTCATTCGGGATCAGTGCGCACTAAGTCACTTCGGATTCCCCCCAATTTATTTAGAGTCATTGAGACGTCCCCATTGATCTGTTCGAGCCTTTTGAGCGTCTCTAATGCTCTCACGCAATACGTTAATTTCTCACTGAATTATGCTATTCGTCGCGGATTACTATTGGATTGCTTAATATATATAAATTGTTGCATTGCTTAATATATATAAATAACAAGTTGCTTGAAACTCGATAACAACGATGTGTCTGTGTCGTCAATAAAACCGTTGTAATTGTTTGTTTAAATGAAATTTACATTGTATTACCGTCCTTAGATTGGTTTTACTTTTTAGTCTAGCGCTGTAAATTCTGTGGCCATAACTAAATCGCATATAAGCTTATACACATAGTACTCGAATTTCGCGAGAAAAAATGTGAAACAAGAAACCCTTAAATAATAAACGGTAACTCAAAGAACACGTTATTTAAAACACAACGTTTCTGACGGTGAGCTGTTCATACTACAAGTTGAAGCAGGGGGAAATTATTCGTAAATTATGAGAGATATTCATTCACTGTCCTTATTCCAATATACCCACTCTATCTGTTCAATATTTTTGCGCTTTAAATTATTCGTTGATTTTCCATATTAGTCTTTATTATTCCAAAGTCACTCTTGCATTCTCGAGAGCATATATATATATGGGCTGTGTAACAGGCAAGCTCACTAAATATATCGCGATATTATTGCTGGGTTTCGATGATCAACCGTACGTATTACACGATGATCAACCGTATTACGACGCCAGAGAAAGGATTGCTATCGGGGAAGCTATAACGAAACGTTTGAAGTTAAAAAGGTTATATATAACCCAAGAGGACTGTCGTGGTTTGTTTGAAGCAGTTGTTTATTCAGCAACGTCGCGATGGACGGAAGTTTCTCGGTCTCTCCATTTCAAACATTTGAAGACTTCAAGCGATGATACAGGGCTTCAACCCATCAGCACTTTGAGGATATTGATCCAGTGTATGTTGACGAATATTTTACGAGAGAAAACGACGGGTGCACTACTTAGATTACACCAATTATTGGCTCTTGTAGAAAGAAATGCGATATTGAATACAGCTGTTGGTTGTGTATCAGCATTTACTCACTATTGAAACTAAACATTTCGACTGTCTGTTTACTAAAGGTTGACAAAGCAACTGTTACCCGTTCGATTAGTACGCGAAAACTACATTTTTTTATCATTTATTGCTTCACCAAAATACCTTCATAAAGTAATACAAAATTCGACACGCATGTGTTCAATCACGTGACTATTGCCAACAGGGCACCCAAGACTAATACTAAACTATTATCTAAACTCAGTCACGTCACACAACCATTGTGCAATACATCAAATTAAGACTAATGTATAACACATGTGAATTATTTCAACCTTAATTTTCCAGCTTTTGCATGTCTATCGCTCATATATACCATATTTACCTACAAAAAAATGTTTGTAGTGGTTCACGGGTTATGACAGTATTCTGCATTGGGGAGATTCACAGTGAAACTTGCAGTTGAATGAGCAAATTCGTCAAATTGCACATTTAGGACACGTACAAAACGTTTTCTATGAGTATAATAAGTATGTTTGCATATATAGTTTTTGATGTATTAAAGACTTATTCCTGAATGATATAGTGTGAACCAAATTCTGCTCATACTCAACTATATAGTGATATATTCTTATTCCTACTTAACTATTTAATTATTCAATGTTTATCCCATATTACACTTTAATATAATCACTCTATCTGTTTTTAATCTATTTGCGCATTTAATTATTTGTTGACTTTTTCCATATTTGTCTTAATTATCCCATAATTATTCTACCCTTCTCAAAAGTGAATGATTTGTACACTTGACCTTTGAATAACATTGTATTAAGATTGCAAGCTTGCATCATATTTAATCGTCTGCATGTGTTGTGGTACCAGTGTGACCAGACGCAGTAATTTGATTAACCTTCGGTAATTTTTCGGATGATTGTAGTAATTGGAAATTTGTAGTAATTACTACAGTAATCTTTCTTAAAATTACAGAAAGCTTTATTACTTTGCAAGTGTTCTTACAAGGTTGAAAAAATCCCTATCAGGTGGATAGGCCAATCCCGTTTTCGTACAAGTGGCGCTGTTTCCTGCGTTCTAGGTCATCTCCACAGCAAAACAATAATTATACGTTTCTGTTAGGGTAAAGTAGGGATATTTTGGAAAAAGATTTGGAATTACCAATGATAATGCGGGATAAATGTGTGCGGAATAATTTTTTGCCTCATAGTAATTTCTGTCGCCTCTTTTGGTAATTGCCCTTCAAAAAACCTGGTCACACTGTGTGATACGATTCACGAACATAATGCCAACGAACTGTGAAAATGGAGGCCTACGATAAGCTGTCCATATCACAAGTTGAAGAAGGTGAAAAGTTTATCCAAGAGTTAAACCTTATGAAGGCAGACAAAGTTCTTGATGATAAAATTGCAAAATTTATTATTAAACAAAGCCAGGCTCTCTATTTCCAATATTCTGTTATACGAAGGATTACAACTTTATTGTTAGAAAATTGTTTAATACGTGGACATTCGAAGTAGGATTTTACAAGGTAACTGGCTCCTGATAAACTTTATTGTGAAGCAGTGACGATATTGTGAAGAGCTTTATTGTGAAGCAACGATATTCAGTCTAGTAGTGACTTCGGAATATATTTTTATAGGTGGATGGAGTGCAATAGCCTTTTTCAAGTGATAAATGAACCAACCCGTATAACAGCACACGGTGCCTCAATACTTGATCTAATTATAACAAATTCTCCGGGATATTTTGTTAATTCTGGTACTTTAAGCCCTCCATATAATTGTGACCATTCTTTAGTTTATGCTTGGATGAGCATTTCCTTCGCAAAACAAAAATGTTATAAACGACACATATGGGACTTAGCCAAAGTAGATTCTAATACGTTATGTCAAGCCCTGTCGGAGGTAAATTGGGATAAATTATTTCAGGATGTTAAAAACGTCGATGATTTATATAATGAGTGGTTTAATTGTTTTGAGCAAGTACTTAAAACTTTTGTTCCGAACAGAACAGTTGTTATTCGTCCAAGAGATAAACCTTGGATGACTTCTGGAATTAGGCGTTCAATTCGCAAAAGAAATAGGTTGTTAAAAGTTTTTAGACGGTTGAAAAATTTAGTGGCATGGGAAAATTACAGAACGCAAAGAAATTATACCACATCGTTAATACGTTTAAGCAAGGAAAGATATTTTGCAAATCTAAATGTAGAATTACAGAACCCACATATTGGACCGAAAAAGTGGTGGGGGTTAGTGAAATCATTGTATGGTAATAAAATACAATCTGGAATCCCTACATTAATTGAAAATGATCGCTTAATAATTGACGCAAGAGAGAAAGCTGAAATTTTTAATGAATATTTCAGCACACAGTGTAGATTGGAAAATAATGATTCTCCGCTACCAAATTTAATTGCCCTTCAAAATATAAGAACATTGTCAGATATTTCCACGTGCGAACATGAGGTAAAAATTTTACTTAATAGTGTCGATGTTTCTAAAGCTTGTGGTGTCGATAGTGTGGGTAATTTTTTAATTAAAGCTAGTGCAAATGGTATTGCCAAATCTTTTTCTAGATTTATAAATATCTCTCTTTCTAGAGGAATTTTTCCGTTTAAATGGAAGTTGGCAAATGTAATACCTATTTTTAAAAAAGATGACCGCCAGTCAAAATTAAATTATCG